GTGACGTGTTTTCTAAAAGTTTAAACTGTTTTAACTTTGCATGGCTTTCTATTAATCTCTTGTGTGAGACGCGAGTGCAGCAGTCATATTTGTCCGTCTAAAAAATGCGCTGAATATGCGTTCTGTGTGAATGGCTTGGTTTCGGTAACCTAATCAAGATCTTCTCCTACGCATTGAGCTACTATATTTCTCTAATATTTTGAATGAATAACGCAGCAACTGCGCGTCTTGTGGGCTAGACTTAAAAAACATTTAAATGCAACAACGTCACTTACATCATAATCATCACCGCATCTCGTGCTCCACTAATGACGCTCCCAGATGCACACCTAACATTTGATTGTACTATTTTTGCATTCAAATGCAAATGTTTATTTTAAATTCGACTAATATAAATTTTTTTTATTCACAATCTCATCACAGTCAGGCACAGCTCTCAATTCAGCATGTGTTCGTGTTTGTGTGTGCGGTCTGCGTCACTCATAGCACGTGCCTATATCGTGCGCTATATCGAACATTTTTTTCTATCGTTATCGAAGAGGGTGTACTGTCGATAAATATCGATACCGTTTTATCACCCAGGCCTAATGCTTACCTACGACCCTGTCTCCAGTTTTGATGCCCATCTTCCTCATAGCGGCAGCAAAGAGAGAGACATCACGCCTCAGCTCTCCGAAAGTCACCTTGACGATCTCCTCATTCGCCTCAGCTACAAAAAAAAAAGGAGGAAAAAAAAAAAAAACTTTTAGAAATCTCAAACATGCTAAAAAAGACATGACAGCAAAAAAATAAATAAGTAATAATAATAATAATAATCAAAATTTTGAGGGTTGGTAAGGTTTTTTTAATATATATTTTTGAAAGAAATCCCTTTTTCTCACAAAGGCTGCATTTATTTTTTTAAACTTAATATTGTGAAATATTATTACATTTTAAAATAATTTATTTCTATTTTAATATATTTCAAAATGTAATTTATTTCTGTGATGGAAAAGCTGAATTTTCAACAGCAGTCTCCCATAATCCTTCAGAAATCCCTCTGATATGCTGATTAGGTGCTCAGGAATATTTCTTATCATCAATATTGTTGAATAAACAATTGTGCTGCTTAATACGTTACTGAAAAACATTCATACACTACTTTTTCATGATTCTTTAATGAATAGAAAGTTTAAAAGAACAGCATTTATTCAAAATATAAATCTTTTAAAGATTATAAATGCGACTGACACTTTTGATCAATTTAATACATCCTTGCTTAATAAAACATATTTCTTTAAAAAAAAAAAAATCTTTTGAATGGTACTGTATGTAAAAATGTTGTTGTGTTCATTATTATTAAATCTACCTATCATTAAATCAGTAAATATCAACACACTAGCTTTAATGAGCAACCAGAGAATTCTTTGCCATCTGTGACTGTGGTGCAGCTGAGATATCGCAGTCAACTCGGGTAATGTTTTTCATTACTGTATGTAATCAGTAAATGAAGTGTTACATTTAATTTGGGCTCCAGAGTCCTATGTAATCTACTTTTTCAGTTAAATGAGCCTCCCTGTTTCACGAAGACACAGACCAATGACGCAGGTACATTTCTGATAGATGCCACTTTGGTAATTACATCCGCTCTTTCCTGGACCGCATCAGGACATCCATCACAACATAAAAGCTCAACTACAGGTGCATCCCGCCCCTACACGGACACTAAAACCCCAAATCAAATTACAGATAGCATAATTCATTTAGTGTTACAATAGCCAGAGGCCATGCAATGACAGATTCTATCTATACAGATAAAACACATATGCACACAGTGCTGTTGCTATTTTAAAGTAGCCATTTGTGTATAAGGTCAGATAGACAATGGCTCAAGGTGGTCAGCAGAGATGCAGGGTCTTGTTTTGAATTGGGAGATGTTTGTGCGGTATCTGGTCATGGAGATATATTGGTAATAAAATGTGCAGTGAAAAGTTTAACATAAAAGATGCAATGGCAACCAGGGTTTGAATGCAGCTGATGCAGTTCTTAGATAAATAATGAAGTTAAAAAAAGATTCGTATTGCTTGAAAGTGCTTAAGGGTGCAGTTTGGGAATGTGGTATGAATCACGGTTAGCTGTTTTCATATGACCTGGATGACTGCCACTGAATTCAGTTCTGCTGATTATGTCAGGACTTCATCAGTGACGTGCCGGTGTCCAGGTCATTCAATGAAACGGAACATAATGCTCACAGCTTCAAATTATACAGACACTCTGCCTAACGAAGCTTAAAACTTCTGATTTTCCTCATTGTATTCAATAGGGAGAACAAACAGTCAGATAGTTTATTATCACAAAATAAACCAGGCAGGAAGATCAGGATTAACCTGAAAGGGTGTATTTTGCAAAAGTGACCTGCTTATTATTCAGCTACTTACCAAGCAAGTAAATAAATGCATATGAAATATTGATTTGAGATTAAATTATTTCATCATGTGAGATCAAAGAGGCAACGTGCTTACCAGGGACATTTATAGCTTATACAAAATGTTGAATGCTGATTGAGAGCCGTGTAATAAACTTGGGTAGTTCAGAAATTGGATGTGACTTACTTGCAGCATAGAGAGCCACTTTGTCCTGGTCTTTGTGTTTGAGCAGGTTCTCTGCATAATTCAGTCTGCTGCCTTTGAACCACTCAGGTACATCGGATATCCTTTTAGACACATCAACCACCTGAAACAGAGAGTGAGCAAAGTCACACATCAGCCAGTCTGATGGAGCACCTTTTAAAATGTCTTTTTTTTTTTTTTGCAAACAACTGTACATCCGTTTGAGACAGTGATATTTTAGTATTGTAAAATAGTATTGTAAAAGTATTTTAGTATAATATTGTTTATGTACTTTTACGGTATTTATTAATATTTTGAATTTGCTTTTATTTTTATATTCATTTATATTTATTTTAAGTTTTAGTAATTTTGTTATTTTTTATATTTCTATTTAGCTTCAGTTTATTTTTATTTCAGTTTTAGTTTTAGTAATTTTAGTATGAATTTTAAACTTATTTTATTTCAGTTATTTGCCCATTTTCATTTAAGCTGGTTTGAAAGAAGACATCCTAGCTACCACCCCGGTATTTTGATATGGGCAAGCACCCGTCCCAATTATTAGTTAGTTTAACTACACAAACATACTGCAATCCATGTTGTCATAAAATTAACTAATAAAAGCATCTTTGAGTCAGCAAATAATCAAGACAGAGCATGCAGTAAAATTAGTTTAAGAAGATTGTACATAGATAAAAAGCCATATATAGACTGCAGATTTTGTTGTTTTATTATGTTTTACCCTATGACACTCCTTAAGTAAATCTACAGCTCTCTCAGACGGAAAAGCCCCAACACACCCTTTCAGCCAGAGATATGATATGAGCTTTAAATATTCCCAGCAGTAGTTCAGACAGTAGTTCTAAATGGTAATAAATTCATAAATGTTTACTAGTTAGGACAAAATTTATACAAATCATATGTGACTAATGAGTTTGTCCATCATGTCATCTATTGCAGGGACACCTCAATGTGACAACGACTACATCATCAGATTTCTTAGTTCAGGTCCACACTAATTATTCATTGTCACGGTGACATCATTTTGTGGCAATGTGAACCTTGGTGCCACTCATTACAAAACCGGAAATGACAAACAAAAACATAAGTATATATATATATATATATATATATAGCCAAAAAAGTGAGGGAAAAAAAAACCTACCTCCTCATACATCTTTGAACAGGTGATGCCACAGAATTTCCAAACCTGTGCCCAGAACTCTGGATAACTGTCCACGGACCACTGATACAGGTCATTATAATTAGCTTCAAAACAAAAGAGACGTTTATTGAAAGTACCATTAGACAAAATGCATGCCATTATTTAATTTAGTTTAGAAATGGTGCAACACTACAAATCAATACTGTAATCATAATAGACTTTTATTACATTTGATCTGACCCCCTATTTCTTTGTTATTTGTAACAATTGACATGTTTACTGCATAAATTCAGTTTTTTCTTGTATTAAATGAATAGTTACACATATTCAGATTTTTAAATATTTACTAGTGTCAATTACAGTTTTCCTAGTATTAATTAAAAAGTCACAAGTATAGCCCCTATCTATAAGATACTGGTGTGTAGCCTATACCATTGAAATGAACCATGCTGAAATGTCTTCACTCTTACTATTAAGATTTTCCATTTAACTATAAACTAGTGAGAGAATACTGGAGGAGGTAGCAACAACAACTACAATACATACTAGCTGAAAGCAAATAGTAGTTATCTAAACAACAGATGTGCATAGCTTCTTTTTACTATTGGGGTACTAGTAGCAAAATGAATAATTAATATGTATGTAGGCTACTGTATCTTATGAACAGCAAATGGCGAAACTGAAAAATGTACTAAGCACTATTCAAATGACTTACTAATTATGAAGTACTAGTAACATGCAAACAAATACTAGCTCGTTTAATGGGATAAACGTTAAAGCAGTTTTGGTATAGATGAAAATGCTGCCACACCTGCTGAGGTGCACGTACATGATGGCACTATGAAAATATTTACTGAATATGACGGCCAGCCTCTATTCACTCTATACTGTCCGTCGGAATTCCACGTCTGATTTGAAATACTGGTTCGACAACTCATAGCATGCACTGAGATGTGGCACACATTAATGAATGAATGAATGAATGGACATATCTGTCCAGACATCCCATCCTATGAAACTGAAGGAATTAAAGAAAATGGGCCAAAAACTGCATCTGAAAGCATGGTTAGAGAAACTGTTTTTGCTCAAATGTGGCCATGACATAACCCATGACAATCCCAGGATGAGCTATTAATGGGATTAATGCCATAGTACTATGTTTTGTTTTCCTGTGGAATATGGGTGTGTTGTTAGGTGGCGTACTATCTGCATTCATTCTAGCCCAGGCTGGCTCTACTCAGTACTCACCCAGATTCAAGCCGAAGTCCCGGTTCACTTGAGTCCGGAATCGGTCCGCTTGTGTGTTTCGTTTAGAGTCCGGGTACCACAGCACCTTCGACTCCATAATCTCCTGGCTCTTGGCCTCCGTGTCTTTAGACATGATCGGATGACACGCGCCGGTATGTCGTGAATAACCTATGAAGACTGCAAGAAACGTACTACGGGAGTTTGACGGGCCGATCCGGTGATCGCGTATTGGTGCAGGTCAGACACATGGGTCACTTCCGACCGTCAGCCGCACATAATCAACCAGCAGCAGCGGAAGCCCCGCCTACCACGCAACCGCACACCACCCTGCCAACCGTCATATGTTCTTCCGCTTCTTATGTAGTGCTAGGTTTTTACACAAATGTATGTATGATTCAGAATAATTTTATTTGATAATTAATTTTAATAAAGTTTACCAGCATTTGCATTTGTTGGCTTGCCCTGGTGGACGGTTTATCTGTTTCATAATTTCATCTATCGGATAGTGGTGACAAGGAAATCCGACTTATTTCAGGCAATCGGTTCTTTTGAACAGTTCATTTCTGAGAAGGAGATTACTGTAATCAACATATTCTTCATATGTTCGCCCCTGCTACCAAAACTGTTATAAAACTGTAATCGATTCAGTAGTCAGTGACTAGAGAACCGCTCGGACAGAGTCAGGACGATTTGCAAACAGAACGGTTTTTGTGAACCGATTCAATAGTTTAATTGAAAAGATTCGGCTTGTTTACGGATGGGGAGTCTGTATCATTTATATATTCATGAAACTTCATGAACTAAAACGGTTAAGTGACGCAAACTAATAAGGATGATAGGGGGGAAAAAACAATGGAGCACATATTTATATTATATTTTTATTGTTATTTTGAACTTCAGACTGCATTTACAATACATATAAGGATATATATACGTATAGTTCCTATTATAGAATTCAGAACAATTAAAAGGAACATTGGAGGGTCTCTAAAAGTGTTAAATAATATCTTGTTCACATTGAATACTGTATATAATGCTCGCTCTTGACCACTGCCATTAATGTTTCTTGGATAAAGCATTACTGTCAGGGTTTGGCGGAAGAATATCTGCCTTCGCCGCAATTAGCATGTCTTTTATTCCATTGGTTCCTAAAGCTGGTCTCACATCAGCCGAGACCGCAGCACAAGAGAAAGCAACATGGACAGACGGAAAAGCGAACCAATCAGAAGTCAGGCAGCCGCTACGCCAGTTCGACCCACTGAAGCGCCCAGCCAATAGAAAAAAGGATCATATAGAGGTGTGCCCAATCCCGAGCCTGCAGCATGATCGGATGGGCTAAAAACATAGGATAACATGTAAAAGGTGTCTCTGTGCTGTGTTTTCCATACATTTTGTTTGAATTCATGCAGACGATTTGTGTTTTCTAAACATTTTAATACCAGAGGAAGTTTGTATAAGAGCTGCTTAATGTTTTTGCAGAGTCAGCAGCAGTTATTTTCATGGCCCATTTCATCAATATTTATATAACATTTAGGAAATAGTTACAGTTGCTTCGTAGACTGGCAGTGTAAACGTGGCTGATTCACATTTAGATGCAACAAAAAGAAAAATATTATATGATCTGTGCTGCTTGTTTGGTGATGAAACAAAGGAATCAAGTTGAAATTTCTGGAAGCCATTAGACAAGTTTCATAAAAATAAATTCAAAACACACAGCTGGACCTGCAACCCATCTGCTTTTGTTTTCAGTTTATTTCAAATGAATTGCACAGTGCTTTTTACTGTACTCATTGAAAGCAGTTTTACAGAAAAAAGAAAAATACAGTAGATAAAAGAAAAAGAAAATGACAATATCAAGTTTTTCAGCGGCCGCTGATATTTACAAATTACATAGTCATTTTATAGGCTACTTGGCCTATGATGACAAGAATGTCCATCACCATGAAACGACTATTTAGCTTTTTTTTTTTTTGGACAGTTTCTATTGTTCTCTATACACAAGCCCATTTCACTTAAATATGCGAACATTCATTCAAACGTGCACAGATGTGAATCTAAAAATAAACTGTACTATAAGTACAATTCTAAAATGGAATTTCAGTTTTTTTGGTACTTGATTTGCATCCTGAGCTCTTCACTGACCTAATCTTTACAGATTCAATGTATACTGTATGCCTATTTATTTACATAAACAAATGTGAGGAGATCTACAGGGAATGTTTTTTCCCTCCTCTGTCTGTCTGTCTTTCTTAGTAAGACTGATATGGAGCCCACAAGGGTTAGTGTTAAAGGGGTCATAGGATGCCCATTTTCCACAAGTTGATATGATTCTTTAGGGTCTTAATGAAAAGTCTGTAACATAGTTTGGTTAAAATTTCTCAATGGTAGTGTAAAAAACACCTTTTTTACACTGTCAAAAACAGCTCTTTTCAGATCAAGCTGTTTTTGTAGCATTTTCCTTTAAATTTTAATGAGGTTTAAGTTCAAACAACTTGTAAAAGTGCATGTAGCATCCTATGACCCCTTTAAGAATGTGCTTTTATAAAAGGAATGGGAACGGGGTCATGCCTGCACCTCTGGGCGCAACAAATAAAAAAGCAACAATGCACAACATTATATACAAGCCAAATATGGGTGTCTTAAAGGCACAGTGCTCCTTTTGCTTGTTACATATTACATAAGCCATGTAAGACAGCATTTGGATCAGCCCTCACAGGGATACAAAAGATACAGCTGGCTGAACGAAACAAAATTCCAGAGTATTTATGACAAAATAGAGAAAACAAAATAGAGAAGAAGAGGGGAAAACCCTACATGGAGGTGATTTTAGAAACAATATGTATACAATATGTTAAACTGTATGAGGATAGCAAATATCAAATGCCAAGTACAGCTAACATCACAAGCTTTCACCACCTCTGTTGTGCTGCCAGCAAGATAATGCTCATTTAATTTTTGCAAAGATCTGTTGGATCAACATCAGCATTACTGATTGTCGCACAAACTGTTTTTTTTGCAGAGCAAACAGTACATTTGCTCAAACTGCACAAGCACCTTTAGGATGCTAAACTCATCCATTTGGTTGGCTGTGTGTGTCAGACCAGATACAGATTTAACCCTCTCCAGACACTGACAAGAGCTTTAGAGAGTTCATCTGAGGCCATTTGAACAGACAAATGAAGCAATGTTCAAACAAGTGACTGTTGCATCATGTACAACCTCCTATGTCCAAATTATGAGGTGAAGCAACTTCAAAAAATAAAAAAAAAAAAAAAAAAAACTTGAGCAAATATAAACTACGATACTATTAATGTGAGTCAGGCTGAGCTCTCAATATATCTGTAATCAAAAAATAAATAAAAACATCCAAGACCTGTTGGTCAAATTGTATATTACGTTTATTAAATCATTTTTGGACCACTGTTTCATCTTAGAGAAAATCACTGAACAAGTTTCATAAAGACAAAAATATGTTACAGACAGTGCAAATAATACCACAGCAAGCAACAATGCAGGTGAACAATCCTGATGAAAATTATACAGTACAAATGCAAACCTGATGTAGAAATCTAGGCATTTACTACGCAAAAAAATACCAGTTAAGGTCTCGACTTCACAGAGATTCAGTGCTTTCTAATACAAATCAGACGCAAAGTCCTCAACACACAATGATTGGCACTGGCGCAGTCAACTGGGATCTATGAGAGATGTAATATAAGATATATTAATAAAATACATAATATTCCACAAAATGAAGGACTTACAAGAAGGACATTAATTACTAAACAGTGCAGGTAGGAAAATAGCCGTCATACATATTTCTACAAGCAAACTCAGCACATTCACTCAGCATGGTGTACACTTGAAACCACAGCTAATGATAAAACTCATGAGATACAGAGCATTTTCCACAGTATATTACTGTGGATTCTCATTCATTACAGATATGGAAGTAGACAAGACCATTTTAAATATAGGAGTGTTTGCTGAGACAAGTAGGCTATACGTGTAGTCGTCCCAGTACTTGTACAATAATGCTGGTACATTGCAAGTACACAAGAGTTTGCTATTCAGAGATACCTCGAGGCTGGTGCTTATATTGTATGATTTCCTTCACACATTCATACAGTAAAAAAGGACCTTCTTGATATTAGTGCTCGACACTGCTTTCCAGTAGGCTTGAGTTACAGTACGTCACAGAATTGAACCGTGATTGGTGGAAGGATGAGGGAAAGTTTCTGGACTAAAATCAGTGAAGTGCAGGATGAGTCGTCAATATTTTTGGCTTGAATAGAACAACTGTAAATTTTGAACATGTATCTGCTAAAAGTGAATTTCATCAAGGTCTAAAAAGAGTATAGAATGGCATCAACACTGACAGGGAATAAACTCCACAAAACTCTCACTTTGAATTAATGACGTCTTTAAAATAACTGGCTGGAGACACACATCATTTTATAATTTAGTAGCAGAAATGAACAAATAAATCAAAAACATATCCATAACACACTGATTTCACAATAAACACAACCTTTTACGATACGATGCAAAACAAATACGTTAAATATTCCCTAATAAAAATAAATAAATACTTCCAATGTACACTACCATTCAAAAGTTCTATTTTAATATATTTTAAAATGTAATTTATTCACGTGATGGCTGAGTGTCACGTGATCCTTTAGAAATCATTCATATATTCTGATTTGGTGCTCAAACAACATTTCTTATTATAATCAAAGTTGAAAACAGTTGTGCTGCTTAATATTTTTGTGAAAACCGTAATACATTTTTCAGGATTCGATAATGAACAGCAAGCTTAAAATAACTTAAAATAATTATTTGAAATATAATTTAATACATCTTTGCTAAATAAAAATATTGATTTCCTTAAAATAAAAAAAATCTTACGGACTCCAAACTTTTCAACAGTAGTGAAAAGTAGTACTAATCATGAAAAATCATTTAAAAAAATAAAATAAAAAAAATTATGGCATATTATGGAATGAAAATATACTTTAACACTGCCCATTTGTAATATTCCTCTCAAAATGTAAAAACGTATAAAAATGTTAAATGACAGTATTTTTTAAAATCTATGAAGGTTAAATATTCCCTAATAAAAAAAATAAATACTTCCAATGTACACTACCATTCAAAAGTTCTATTTTAATATATTTTAAAATGTAATTTATTCACGTGATGGCTGAGTGTCACGTGATCCTTTAGAAATCATTCATATATTCTGATTTGGTGCTCAAACAACATTTCTTATTATAATCAAAGTTGAAAACAGTTGTGCTGCTTAATATTTTTGTGAAAACCGTAATACATTTTTCAGGATTCGATAATGAACAGCAAGCTTAAAATAACTTAAAATAATTATTTGAAATATAATTTAATACATCTTTGCTAAATAAAAATATTGATTTCCTTAAAATAAAAAAAATCTTACGGACTCCAAACTTTTCAACAGTAGTGAAAAGTAGTACTAATCATGAAAAATCATTTAAAAAAATAAAATAAAAAAAATTATGGCATATTATGGAATGAAAATATACTTTAACACTGCCCATTCGTAATATTCCTCTCAAAATGTAAAAACGTATAAAAATGTTAAATGACAGTATTTTTAAAAATCTATGAAGCAGGGAATAAATGTCTGAAATATATTTTAAAAACCATACAAATTAGTTTTGGCTACACAGGTTGCAAAAACATGATGAATTCAAAACCAAAAAGTGGAATGAATGTTAAAGCTGCAAAAAGAAAAAAAATAGTAAGAGTGAATGAGAACAAGCAGAGAAGATGGGACACAGGCTAGATTAGTTAGGAGGCATTTCTAATAGACAAAATGCCACTGTGGATGAAACCATAGGCCACTTTCTTAAAAAGTTTAATAGATTTTACTAAGCAGCACTAATACGCAGTGGTACTAAAAGCTATTTAACTAATCCCTTTCAATAAGTGTATTAAAATGGTACATACAATGATCTCATGCTGAGAGCAAAGTTGCATGACCAGGTTTTTCCAGCTGAAGTTGGACAGAGATAGCGGTGTACATTGCAGCACTGTTATTTTGCTGCCAGGAACACTGGTCACATATCCTCACACTTCTGATGACTAGCTGCTTTCTGAAAGCGATTTCCACATACATCTCTATCCCTGATAGTGCGACCGGTCCTGAACTCAGAGTAACCTCTGGTGACCTCAAGACACATGGTAGAGATGAAACATGCTGTGATACTGACTATTCTTCACACTTTGATTTAGTGCTGGGCGGTATACCGGTTCATACCGAATACCGGCAGGAGGAGAGCACGAGCAGGAGAGCTGGACACAGACGATGGGCTGAAGTAGTGCGTCAGGTTAGAGGCTAATGAGAGAGAGAGAACCGGAGGGGAAAAAGAAAACACAGACAGACAGAAATAGAAGCAGAGAGAAAGTAGGGAGAGACATGAAGGAGGTTTTAAGGACATGATTTTTGGCATCACATACAAACAGTGGAGATGTGCTATTTCAGTCATTGACGCACATAAATGCAACAATTTTGATACAGACTTACAGTCAATGCCCATAACATCAAGCAGATCCACCCACAGTTTCCACAAGGTGTCCAATAATGAATCGACTCCATAAACAAACCTCTCTGTAGTTTTTGAGAAGAACTGCAAAACATTGACAAGTTGTTGGTTTTTTTTAATAAATGAAGACTGCAAAAAAGTTATATGCAAACTAAAAACAGAAAATAACCCTACTTTAAAAAAAATATATGTTTCTGTATATCTATATAATGTATCTATATAAATTAGAACAGATTTAGATTGTTATTTTAGATTACTTTGCATTGTGACATCATTTTCATGACAATTAAGCATATCCCTCTTCCCATTTCTCATTATTGTGTTTTTTTATTATTATTCTCAGTGATAATTCATTTTATTACATTAAAAATATTATTATAACACACAGTTACAACAACAGTATTAATAATAACAACAATATTAATCTGCCTTACAGTAATGAGATCTTTTCCATTATAGCAAAAATAGGCTAAATAGGCCTAAGCTCCATTTTCTTTTCTCAAAATGTAATAGCACTATACAGTACAGTACAAAAGCTCATTCATGTACATTTAAACAGTTAGCAAAACTCTCATATATTTTATTAAAATAACGTAAATAATGAAAATGCAATAATTTTGTTAAAATTGTTTTTAAGGCCATTTAATGCATATCATTAATAGACTAACAATTTATTAATTATTAAAATCAAATTTTAATTATTAAATATTATTGAAAAAAACACGTATTCACTAAAGTTATTATAAAGCGTTACCGATAAAACATAAACAAGTCTAAAATGTGGCACATCAGCTGTTCCATCTGACAATATCACAGCACTGACACTATCCAGAACATATTGACCAAGTTAAACAGAAAGATGCCCGTATTAGGGATGGGCGATACCTCTTATTTTATTTTCGATCCGATACCGATATTTTCAAGCCCAGTATCGTCGATATCGATACTGATACTTCTAAACTAAACTGATCTTTTAAATTATTGAAAGAATATATAATCAGTAATTATACTCACTTAATATTAGATTTTAAAGCCATGTTTTTTTAACATTTCATATGCCTTTTTTGTTTACACTTTTAGAAATAAAATATACTATAATTGTATATTTTAGCCCTTTAATGGGGAAGTAACCTCAAAGGTGCAACTATACCCCTAAAAGTGTCTTCAGTGTCACATGATCCTTAAGAAATAATTCTAATATTTGGTGCTCAAGAAACATTTATTATTATTGCTGCTTCATATTTGTGCGGAAACCGTGATGCATTTTTCAGAATTAATTTTATATATAGTAACAATGTAATGTAATAATGTGGCAATGGTTTCTTAAGATCTACTTACGCTTCTGATGCTTTTGGGAAACGCAACCCTATTTGAACAAGCACTCTGAGCCATGTGTCAGCAGCGAACGCTGTCTGTGATTGATTGGTTCTGTCTTTCAGCATTTGCGTGTGTTCCGATGAGCAGGAGAAATGGTTCTATCCAACACAATTATTCGCTAATATAGTCTATTTTTCCACTTAGAAGCTTATTTTATGCACCGAATTTCTTGATAAGTAAATAAAATTAATGTTTTTAAAAAATGCACTTTAGAATCGATATTTTTATGTGAGGATCGATCCTTTCGATACAACATCAGTATCGATCCGCCCATCCCTAGTATACAGTATGCGGCTATGCGCTCTAGGTAGGCAGCTCACTAGGTTCTGAGCTACAGTCTATGGTTTTGAGACACAGCCACTGATCACAAGAGATCACAGGCTGGTGATATCTTCAGGCCCTAAGCAAATGCATTTGCAAACAAAACGAAATTTTTAAACTGCATGAGAAAATCGCATGATCTTATATGGACCTTGTACAGCGCCCTGATGTTCTCCTCTCCGAAGATATTGCTGAAGGTTTGGTAGAAACCGCTGGCCGCCCTCCTGAAGCTGTTCTGGCTGCTGGAGTCTCTCTTGCTTCGCGCTGTCTCAGTCAGGAGGACAAAGGCCAAAAACACGCTTAAAACCACGGCCAATTTCGCTCCCTTCATCTTTATAGACGACCTGACAACCGGCGATGTGCAATGGAGAAAATTCTGGACGACAGCGGATAGCGCTTATAATAGACTGAATGTAGAGGTGTGATGTGCCGGAAGGAGATGCTGCGGAGAGATTAAGCAGGAAGCTGCGCGCGGGAAGAGTGTGAAGAAATGTAGTGATCGGCGCCGGAAGTACACTTTTTTTTTTGAATAAAGGTCTAAAAATTTAGCTTATAATTTTTTGCAATGATGGTTTAAAATGTAAAACACTGTTTTTGGCTAAGGCTTCTACCCAGAATTGAAGATTAAAAGGTACAGATAAATAAATTAAATTAAACAAAACTAAAAGCTTCATAAAACAAGGAATGCAGAAAAGGAGACCGTTTTTTTTTTTACAATGGATGAGTTTTTTAAGTCTTTAAAGTTCCCAAATATTAGTTTTTACTGTATTTTTGATCAAATAAATGCAGCCTTGGTAGAATAAGAGACTTCTTTCAAAGACATTAGTGTAGTGTATGTAGTGTATTGTAATATCACAAACACTATTATTATAATAAACACTATTATTATAATTATAGTATACAATGACTTAAATTACATCATTACTATTTAAAGACATATATGGTTTATTAACAAAATAATACATATCTGAAAGTGAAACTTAACAGAAAAATGAACATTCTGTCATGATTTACTCAACCCTAACCTTAGCTAACCAGAGTTAACCCTAACCCTAACTCCAAACCAGGATGACCTTGTTTCCCAGCATCCCTTTTCGTGTTCAGTGGAAGAAAGTAAGTCAAACAGATTTGACATGAAGGTGAGTAAATGGTGACAGAATTACATTTTTCATTCCTCTACAAAGGCTGATTTACAAAGATATGGTTTACGTATGTATTTTTAGTATTTTTCTGGTTTATGAACAGGCAATCAAGTGTTTCTGTTCTCAGTTAGGTTTGAAGTATTTCAGTATGTTGTTACACTGGCTGCCTTTAGCAGCGCTCTTCTTGTCTCTGGTACTGGAGGTTTTATGTGAGTGTTTGGATGGGATTTTTAGGACCGGTTTCTGCTGTCTCCACTCTGTCAGTAACTCCCTTTGCACATCAGCAGGAAGTTGTGAGAATACATAAGGGTCCACATTCGCAGGGACATCTGATTGATGTTCTTGAGAGGCAGGTGGGATATCATGACTTTCTGTGACTTTGACGAGTCCAGAATTTAATTCCACGGTGAACTGAGCAGATGACAAATTCTTGCTGAGTTCATGGTTATGAGATGCAGAATTTCTGTTATAATTCAGTGCTGACTCACAGGGTTCTGGTGCTGGTTGGTTAAAAGCCCATGTGGAATGATCTGCTGGGTCAACATCAGAAGATGTGTCAGCGGGTCCGTAAATGAGCTGTGCAGTGTCTTCACTTTGAAAACTGGAAATCAGCTCCATCTGAATGTGTTCAGGAAGGAGTTTGAATACTTCTGGATCGACACCTGGAGGCAGCCTGGAACACAATGTTTTCTCGGGAACGTTGCTCATACAAGACTCTGTTGTGTTCATTTTTGTAACTTGTGAGTGCTCTAAAACAGGCTGCCTGGGAGATTTGGAGTTGATTAAGGGTGGCTGTGTTTGTAATTCTTGGGTTGGAGATATCCATGTGTGTTTTATGGGTTTCATGCTGTTCCATGTTTTATCTTCTTTATGTAAAACATCTGCCTGAGTGAACTGGGAATTTGCAGCAGGCTCACAGATATCAAGTTCCACCTGGTGAGGCAAAAGATAGACTGTTAACTTCTGCTGTTTCAAGTTACTGCTGCCTTAAATTAGCATATGAAAAGCTAAATACATAGTAGTCAGTTAGCAAGAACTAATCTGTAACGGAGTTATTGATTAATAAATACATAAATATATAAAACTACTGAAAATACTTTTATTCAGCCAGTATGTATTAAATTGAACAAAAGTGGCAGTAAAGAAATGTATAATGTCAAAAAAAACATTTCAATTTAAAATAAACACTGATAATAACAAGAAATGCTTCTTATGCACCAAATCAGCATATTAGCATAATTCCTGAAATATCATGTGACACTGAATACTGGAGTAATGGCTGCTGAAAATTCAGCTTTGACATTACAGAAATAAATTGCATTTTAAAATAGAAAACCATTATTTTAAACTGTAAAATTGTAAATTGTAATTTTTTTTACTGTATTTTTTATGACACAAATGCAGCTTGGGTGAGCAAAAGAAACTTCTTTAAAAAACATAAAAAAACGTTCCAACCTTAACCCAACTTTTGAACGGTAGTGTTTATATTCATAAATATGAATACAAAATAAAAGACATAAAAAATGAGTCCCTTATCAGTTTTTATCAAAAGTATTAAAATCTCTGCGACTCATAATAAAGGAAAAGCCCCATTAAAGCTCAGAGATGACTTTGGAAAAACAGAAAGCATAAGCTCAGCTGTAAAATAGAGCCAGTGAGACTGGCTGATTTTTTTTTTTGCATTTTAAATGCAGATTATTATGTATTATTATAATGAATAACTCTAAAATAAGGAAAATCATACATACTGACCTGCTGTTGAGATGTCATTTGTGTTGTTGTAGGAAATTTCTGTGTAAAGAAAGAGGCGATGGAGCTCTTGCTAGAGCTTTTAGCCTGCAGGTTACTAAAACACACATTCAGCAGGGTCAGATGGAACGGCTCACGTGTGTCCAACATTTTATGAAATAGCTTCATTGACAGTCCCAGTAACTGGGGCACAGCCTCACTGCTTCCTAATATAAAAAAGGGAAATGTGAATACCAAAATTGTAACAGTAAAAATCTGAAGATGTCACATTTATATCACTGCTGTTTATTGCAATTTAAGTGAATTGTGAGATGACTGTGAATATTACGGAATTATACATTTAAAGGATGCAAAAGAACAGAACTGTACCGCATGTGATCTTGAGCCCAGTGTGGTTGGGTATAGGGCACTGTCGGCTCTCTCGACTGAACCAGCGATTGGTGACTGTGTATCGGCGAATCGTTAGTCTGAATGTGTGTGGCCGCCTGCCATCTTTGTGCATCCTAGACAAAATTCAAACACAGAAACAAACTATAAACATGCCAATCAGGTTGTTTTGGTATTGTAAAAAAAATGTATTCACCTCTCAGTAAGGCTGGTGAGTAGTTCCTCAGTTTTCTTTTGAACTTCCTCTAGAGTGGAAATTTTCTTGAATGAGTCCTCATCGCTGAGAGACTGAAATATATAATTTACCACACAGATTATTTTAGATTTCATGCAGCATCAGAAGCATGCTAGCACTGTTTGTGAATCAAAGCTTGTAAACATTGTTATGCCTCACAAATATTTGGATAAATACACTATCGTTCATATCAAAAGTATGGTCAGTATGATTTTTTGTTCTAAGAAATTAATACTTTTCTTCAGCAAGGACGCATTAAATTGATTAAAAAAAACATTAAAGGCATTTATAATGTTACAAAAATTGTTTTTCTTTTGACCTTTCTATTCCTCAATCCTGAAAAAATGTATCATGGTTTCCACAAAAATATTAAGCTGCACAACTGTTTTTAACATTGATAATAATGGGAAATGATTCTTCAGTAATGGCTGCTGAAAATCCAGCTTTAATAACAGAATAAATTACAGAAAACAGTTATTTTTAAATTGCAATAATATTTCACAATACTAATGTTTTAACTGTATTTTGATCAAATAAATGCAGACTTGGTAATATGTGACCCTGGACCACAAAACAATGTCAATTTTTTTAAATTGTCAATTTTGTTAAAGTATACATGAAAGCTGCATAAATAAGCTTTCAATTGATGTATGATTTGTTAGGATGGGACAATATTTGGCCGAGATACAGCTATTTGAAAATCTGGAATCTGAGGGTGCAAAAAAATCTAAATATTGAGAAAATCGCCTTTAAAGTTGTCCAAATGAAGTTCTTAGCAATGCATATTACTTATCAAAAATTAAGTTTTTATATATTTACAGTAGGAAATTTACAAAATATCTTCATGGAACATGATCTTTACTTAATATCCTAATGATTTTGGCATAAAAGAAAAATCAATAATTTTGACCCATACAATGTATTTTTGGCTATTGCTACAAATATACCCCAGCGACTTAAGACTGGTTTTGAGCACCAGGGTCACATATATATTTCAAAAACATAAAAAATCTCATTGTTCCCAAACTTTTGAAAGGTAGTTTATTTTAGTCCTCTTCAGCTTTACTTTTCAGAAGGGAGCTAGCTAAAAATTGAGAAAGCTAAACTGAAGTAACAGTGTTTCTTCATGTTATTGTTACTTTTACTTCTGAGCTTCTTTATCCCTCTAGCTTGCTCTTGACACTGGCATTATAACAATACTGGTATTTCACGTTTTGTTAGCTCTTGTATGATAACCTGAGGATTAAAGTTTCTGCTAACTGACTAAATGTGCATATAAAATATATGAAAAAGCCCTTGGGGGCAAAAACAAAAGTGTTGCGTTTATAATTTTGTTCAGTATATAATAACACCATTAGCAGTTAAATCTGTCTGATGAAGACTGCTTAATATTTGCCTCAACAATCTATAAATATTAAGAATACCTGAGGAGGACCCGCCGGCGTGACTGGAGAGTCATCAATGCCACAGGCGAGGTTTTGAATCCTTTTAGCGGTCACTTCACCAAACTCCCTCACCAGGTCAGGCAGAGAATATAACTGTAGATCTCTCACACTGACCAGACCCAAAGCCTTTAGCTTCTCACGTGTCTTGTAACCAATCCCTATATACACAGACAATGTTTACAGAATATAAACAGCATGGTGCGCAATGGGTGAGATTATGTGTCATCTTACCAGGCACTTTGATTAGTCCTGTGAGGCTGCTCATGAGTTCAGCGGTGCTGTAAGGCAGGAGGGTGGTTTGCTGGTTTGGTTTAAAGGTTCCAGACACTAGTTTGGCTAAGAGTTTGTTGTTAGCGATGCCAGCACAGCCGGTTAGTCCCAGCGTGCTGAAGATGGCCTGCCTCATCTCAGCTGCTATCACAGAGCCGACAGCCAGTCGGGCGTTCTCCTCATCAACTACCATGCCTGAAGATAAGCAAGATTTATTATAAGCAGAAACTCTAGCAATTCTCCCATTTTCCATGAAAAACTAAACAACAAGAAAAGAGTACACTGAATTCGTCCAGTTCTGAAACAGCACTGTTTCATTTGTTTGAGGTGGCGCTCCAACTCACTTTCATGTTTGTATACGTGTCCGTTGAAGGAGAGATCTGAAATACAGGTCTCCTTCAGTCTTCTCTCCACCATTTCTGTAACGTCCATGAAGTTTTCATCAAAGCCCAGCCTTTCCACTAGTGGGCAGTATGACATCAGCAATTCTTGGGCAGATAAAGTCAATGTCAAAGTCTGGTTTATAGTCAGTTTAAACAGGGACCTTTGGATTGTACTCCTTAATAGTTCTAAAACAAACTCATTAAATTTAACACTCAAAAGACTGGGATCAGTAAGATCATTGCATTTATAATTTGACCGTAAAAACAAAAATAGGAAACAATTACAATTTAACATAACTGTTCTATTCTATTTTAATATATATTTGAAGTTTAATTTATTCCTGCGATAGCAAAGCTGAATTTTCGGCCGCCATTACTCCAGTCTTCAGTGTCACATGATGATCCTTCAGAAATCCTTCTAATTTGCTGATTTGGTGCCCAAGAAACATTTTAAATTATTTTTAATGTTGAAAATAATTTGTGGAAACTGTTATACATTTTTTTGAAATAGAATTTTTAATAATATTGTAGAAGTCTTTACTGTCACTTTTGATCAATTTAATGCATCCTTGCTGAATAAAAGTATTAATTTCTTTAAAAAAAAATCTTACTGACCCGAGACTTTTGAATGGTAATGTATAAAATGTAAAAAGTGTAAAAATATATCATTAAAATCTAATTATCAAAGTATATTCACTGTTATTATAATTATATATATATTATAAACATAGAAATACAATTTAAAGACACCTACAATAAAACAATATAACAAAAAATTAAAATGTATGATTATACCAGTGACTTTGTAGGACATCTCTCTGTAATGTGTGAGATCTTCTCCTTTCACTAGCACCAGCTGTGGGCATTTCTCCACTGCATCAGTCACTGACATCAGTTTATTCAGGCCATGCTCTCTTGCCACATAATTACACGTCACAATTAAGTACTTCTGCTGTATCCCTAAGAGACCACAGATATAGACAGAGCTGCATATGACATTACATTTATCAGAAGGATAGCAATGAGTTTTTTTTTTTTTTTAATGAGTTTTGTTAGTAGTACTTATTTCTTTATTACCTGACTGATTAGAACATTTATGACTTTTTGTAGAACTTGTACTAATGTTTTTTATTGTGTGTATTGTCTCTACAACTGCACCAGGACATACTGTATTTGTTGTACACTTTATACTCGGTGAAAGTTTATATTCTGTGGTGTTTTACCAAGAGGTTTGTTCCTGAGTGCAGGATTTCGGATCATCTCCACTTGTGCATAGAAGCAGTCCAGGTCAAAGTGCAGGATCACTCTCTGAGATATGGATGTAACTCTGTCAGTGGAACTTCCTTCTGAAAAGTCAAGTTACAAAAGCACAGTTACTGTAGATACAGTATCCCTGACAGAAGCTGCTCACTAAACCTTGTTGCAGTCTATTCATATTGCAGCTGTCACTGAGCTGTGCATTTAGACTATGCAAACATGAGTACCTTGAGTAACTATAATATTCATGCATTACTTTAAAAACATATTTATGCTCAAGTTTACATAATCGTCCAGTTATAAACCCACCTGTCTCTAGCATGTCTGACTCTAAACTGCGATCCCAGTCATTGTCTCCCTCCTCGTCCGTGTCCATATTTACTTCAACGCAAGAGACAGATATGTGGATATATAAGTACAAACTAAATAAAATATCACTTTTAATCATCAACAGTAAAACATGTCGCCACCAAAATCAAACATAACCCACTGCTCAATACTGCCACTTACAGGTCTGGAGCAAAATACTCAACGATATTACAAAAATATTCAAGAAATACCTTTTTTTTTAAAGAAATAAATGGAATGCTATGATATAGAAAAAAATACATCGTATTATACAAAATCTAAATAATATTTTAGTTTTATTAATGTAGGTATTACCTGTTATTAGATTTTGTTTTGGATGAGTTGCTTAAATGGAATGATATAAAGTAATGCAGAATATAGAAATATATATAAATGATAAAATAAACATGTAATTAATTAAATGTTTTGAAACGTAGTTAGATAAATAAGCTAAATAAAACACATCCAATATTTAAAATATTTAATAACTAATTTATTGAGGAATAAAACTGACAACATAAACTAAACTGTTACCTTGTATGCTGGGGGCTTTTATTTTCAGAAAAGATGTGTTTTTTTGTCACCGTCTTCACACATGTAGTCGTGACTGCCGTTGGAAGTTCAGTTTTTATCTCAACCATTTATTTCTGGAGGCCAAATACATTCTCTCACACATGGTTTTAGAAAGAAAACCACATATTTGTCATGACAAGACACCAGTAACGGCTCGCTTGACGTTGTGAGAAAGGAGGAAACAGTGCCACTTCCTCAGCAGAGTGACTCAGTGCGTCATAGCGCTGAAGAGCAGCCGTTTCTCTCTCCGTTGACTCCGGTCTTTTGAGTCATGTCGTTTCGGAGAGCGATCAGTCTCGCGTGCGGGATCGCTGGCGGATCCGCGGTGCTCGTGTGCGCGGCGGTCGCTGCAGATAAGCACGGGTACTTCGGAGAACGATGCCGGTTGAGAGAGACCCTGGCTGCCGTGCACGCAGCGCAGCCTCCGGCGTGGCCCACTGCGAACGGATGGGATTGCAATTGGGACAAGTAAGCAATAGAAACCTATTTCTGATTGACTACTGTTGTATTTACATAGTATTTTAAGGTTTCTCGAGGAATATTATGGTACTACCATGGTACATGTTCATAAAACCATTGGTATAGCTATGGCATCATGCCCAAAAACCATTTATGGTAGTGTTAGTCTGAGGTCTGATGCCTTGATCAGTGGTGATAATTTTGATCCTACAACCTTTGGCTTCGATATAAGGTCTTGAACCACTAAGCCGCACCACATTTGGCAGTGATTGAAATGGTGTCAGTGACCTTTCAGGTAGGTTTAGTCTTAGACCTGGTTAATTGTCAGTAATATAGTTTATTTTTACATAATGTCCTAAGCACTTTTGGAAGTGTCTGCCAACTGACAGTTCCAGCTTCAGATATAGACTTGACTCTTGTATTATGTTCAAAATCTGAGACCGTTTTTTCATGGTGGGATTCAGTATTAACCAGATTCAATAAAATTCATCAAAAGTTATGAAACTATGAAAAACAAAAAAGAAATCAAGTAAAACAGCACACCTGTAACATTAATACCTCTCACACATAAAAAAAAAAAAACACGAGAACATGTGATTTTTAAAACTGTAACGTGAATATTATAAACAGTATTTTAGCTTTGTTTTTGACCGATAAAAATGTACGCCTTCAATGCAGCATATGTTTCTTTGGATAAAAACTGCCATGAATGTAAATTTAAATACCCTTAAGGTTAAATCACACTTCACCAACAAATTAGTTTTTAGAGGGTAGTTGAGAAACTGATAAAATACATTAAAAATGATATTACTTTGAGTCTGTGCAGCTGCCTTTAACACTGAAATATGCAGGTCAAATTGACCCAAACATCATAATCATAAAAGAAAAATGTATAAGTAGAAAATATTGTATGCATATTTTGCAATACTTTCTTCATGACCCTAAATGAGGGAAAAGTTACACAATTTCTAGAAAAACATCATAGGTCGGTCAACCAGCATTTCCAACCAATCAAAAATTTAAATAAGTCAAGTTGACTTGCAACAAAATATTAGGATTGAGAGAATATTGAGTGGTAAGAAATGAATCGCACAGTGTCTTGAAGAGTGTTGTCTTGAGCGTCCGGTTTCTCTCGGTGTAACTCTACAATTAACATTGCTCTAATGTTTGTATTTACTGTAGAATCCACTCTTGTCATCGGCTATTGAATTGAGTTCATTGGACCTACTGTGTGAATAGCTAGTTTGAACATTTTTTGATGCTTTCAGACGTGACCCCTCGTCTATGGTGAATGGGACGAGAAAGGAGAGTGCTGGTGACAGTGGAAGTCCAGAAGCGGAGAACAACAAACCCAAAGCCACACGCCACATTTTCCTGATCAGACACTCTCAGTACAACCTCAAGGGGGATGGAGATAAAGAGAGGATCCTGACGCCTTTAGGTACTGATACCTCAGCATATATCAAATAACAGAAGTGTTGAGCCTAATCCATTAGATGCTACATTAAGCCACCAAATAGATCACATGCTGATTTCTGTCTTCACTGCAGGACGTGAACAGGCTGAGTGTACAGGACAGAGATTAGCAGTACTTGGACTGAAGTACGACGTTCTCATCCACTCCTCCATGACTAGAGCTGCAGAAACAGCCAACATCATCAGCAAATACCTGCCAGGTACAGACTCGTTCTGAAGAGCTGATCTAGGATGAAACCTCTCAGCTAAACCTGTCATTTTCTTCTTCACCTAATTTAATTACATTATGACACACACAAGGCATAATGGCTGAGATGTATTAATACCTATGCATGAGCGTGACCCAACCATGACTGTGGTCTCTTTTGAAAATACACACTTGTGCGTTTGTCAAAGTGTGTGCATTATTAAATTAAAAGAAAAAGTAATAACTAATAAAGAAAAACAGATGCTTAAAGGGATAGTCCACCCCAAAAATAAAGCTTACATCTCGCATTTAAATATCTTCCACATCTTATGTCCATCAAACATATTTTACTTGACTGTATTACTTATATCCCTTTGGGGAACTGTTGATACTTAAAAAAAAAAAAAGTAAATCCAAATTTAGTCTTAAGGTTTTAAAAAAAAATCTTATTTAAAATCTTATGTAGTTTTATTTTTGAATAGCTAAACCTGGCTCTCACCATGAATATAGCCATAGAAGCTGGCATGGCATTAAAAAGCAAAGAAAAAGAAATGTCTTCCAAAGTTCACTTTCTTCCATGGAACAAAAAAGAAGTTCAGCAAAATCACCTGGGTGTATTTCCCTCCGTACAGTCAAAGTTAATGGGGATGGATAATGTCAGGCTCTAAAAAATGTCCAAAAAAAAAAGCATCATAAAAGCAAATCAATATGACTTGTCCACTCTATTCTGAGTCTTATACCTTTGTGTGTGAGTTTAGGGGGTGGCAGTATCACCAAAAATCTATATTGCGATATGTGTAATATTTCAAGATAACGACGGAATATATAAGTATCACAATAGTTGTTTTGTTAGAAATAAGGTTGTCAAAATGGCAACGTTTTAGATGACATGAAAATTTCACAATTCTTGATTATTTTAATACCACGGCAAAAACAGATATTTTAAATATTATATGAATACTCCCTAAAGGCTTGTTCACACTGGGACGAATATCGCGCGCGATTATCGCTGACGTTTAACACCTCGTGACTAAACAAAGGGCGCCAATGTGAGTGTGCACACCGACGCGCAAAAAGCGAGGCGTAAAAGTGTCATTTTTTAAAAAACGCCTCGGGCTCGTTTTTTTTGGTTTGACGCGCCGCGTTAAAAACTGGCCGACCAATGAGATTGGCGCTTTTGTTCACGTGCCTGGAGCTGCTGAAGTTACAGTAAAACACGACTTGGTGGCGCTCAAGCACAAAACGGTCTTGCCGAGCACACATTGATACCTAACGACAAAGAGGAAGTAAGTAGACCAAGAAGATGCATCGAGGCAAGATGAATGTAGAGCTGCTGGTCTCATTGGTGTCTGAACACAAAGGGCTTTATGACAAACGCGACAGCGACTACAAAAATCTCGATAAGAGGGAGTTGTTATGGAGAGGAATTGCAGATCAAATAGGATTCGATGTGTACCGGGGTATTTCTGTTTTTCATTAAGCGCCATCTAATGTCAGGGAGTGAATTTGCACGTTCACTCGGCTCATCGCCTGTGAAAATCGCTTGGGTATGAACACAAAAGACGCGTCGAAAAACGTCGGCGATAAGCGCGTGCGATAATCGTCCCGGTGTGTACGAGGCTTAAGGCTGCCATTTGTACCTAACTTTGTGTGTATTTGACCATTTAGGCCAAAAAAAAGGCAAAAAACAACGCAATTTAGTACTCATGTGCTGTGTGACAGGCGGCTTTCTGCGTGTGCGGTCGATCACACTTGAGCCGTTTAAAATCGTAAATTGAAACTGGAAAGGTCTAAAAATGCACGAAAAGGATAAACTTTAATGACGATGGTGACGATAATCCAAAATTTCTACTAGTTGTTAAATTTCTTTCGGTTTATCGTGTTTACAACTATATTGCCCACCCCTAGAACTGACCGAAAACATTCAATTCAGTCTGTTAGTTTTAGCTTGGACAATTCCTGTATTGTGTACTAAAATAATTATTATGAATTGATGTTCCATGTTGTAAAATGTTGCCTTTGTAGAGATTCAGAATGGTTATTTTCTTCACGTATGACCCATGTGTGTGTTGTAGGTGTGGAGCTTGTAAGCTGTGATTTACTGCGAGAGGGTGCACCCATAGAGCCCGTCCCACCGGTCACGCACTGGAAACCTGAGGCAGCGGTCAGTGCAAACAAAGTCTTACTTAGCCAATCTGAAGGCACTGTCTGTTAGTCCCCACGTCTGGTGCCACTTTTGATTGTCTTTGTGTGTTGAGTTTCTGTTGATGACGCAAGTCATAACAGAACGAACTGCTAAGGTTACTGCTGGTGTACAAAACCCACACTGAAACCATCTCAAATCGCTTCAACAAGCATCAAATGTTCTTGTTTTCCTGCTGGTCATCCTAAAGCTTGATATCTGAAATGTTTGCTGGAGAATGTTGAGTTTGGTTTGGTCGCGAGTGGGCTGTGGAGTCCTTCCTCTCCTCACGTGGATGGTTGTGAAACTCTTGTGCTGGTTTCAGCAGTACCACGAGGACGGCGCACGGATCGAGGCAGCGTTCCGCCGCTACATCCACCGAGCTGACCCCAAGCAGAAGGAGGACAGCTACGAGATTATCGTCTGTCATGCTAATGTCATCCGCTATTTTGTGTGCAGGTTTGTGTTCACTTGCTACTCAGTGCAGTCTTTTTTAATCTTCATTTTTGTGCTCTTTGAAGCTTTTAAAGGGGTCATATGACGTTGCTAAAAAGAACATTATTTGGTGTAATGCAATGTGTTTATGCGGTTTAAGGTTCAAAAAACACATTATTTTCCACATACTGTACATTATTGTTATGCGCAGTTGTGTCCTCTTTTGGAAGGCCAAACAAAGTAGTTTCGCTTTCACAACGAAACACACAGCGCCTTCACGGCATGGCGGCAGCGGCAGCAACAATACTACAGCGAGAATCAAAGTTACGATTTCTTTCTTTGTGTGAACATTTGGGCGGCGTTATGCAAAGCTTCCCACACAGTGAGGTAGACATGTGGGGGGGTGTTAGAACGAGCCGTTTTAGGAGGGCGTGGACAAGTCTTAACTTTTATAAAGACTATCTCTTTGGGTTTGAGACTTTAGTCTTTGCAACTTTAGGGATCTTTTCTATTCACGAACAGCTTGTAACACTCCAAACAGAAAGGAAAACTTGAAATCGCATCATATGACCCCTTTAAAAAACATTTTCATGGACAGCAGTCTGCCCATGAAAAAACAAATGTAATCGTAAGTATGCTCTGATCACTTTGTATTGTTATGTGTGTGTGGTTGCAAAAGTTTTATAGAAGCCCATTTCAGCCACATAAGGGGAAAAAATAATGCTTTGGTAATTAGGAGTCATAATAGTAAATTGAAATTATGAGATAATTGTGAGATTGAAAAAAATATGACAAAAAGTCATAGTCAAGTCATTTTGTGACAAAAATTTGACTTCTATCTCATAATTAAGCATTTTCTCAAGCATATTTTTCTCAAGCATATTATGTGGTAGAAATGGGCTTCCATATTGAATATATGGAATTCATGAAAAACTGTTTGCAACCTTTTATCAATGGTCAAACATGCTAAACATCACTATTGCTGTTGCTCATACATACCTCTAATGCAAGAGATGAGCTTTAGAGAATAGAAAAAATATATTCCAAATATTTGTATTAAATTAATTTTCATTTATTAAAATTATTAGTATTATTATTTTTATTAAATAATTTAGTTTCTTATATTGTGTGGTTATGACTAATTGCTAATAAATATAATATCTAATTGCTAATAAATATATTTCTTGATTGCATTATATTGTTATTTATTGTTTAGTTTTTTATTCATTCTTTTATTTAATAAATACTTAATTTAGTTTATTAGTTACATTGTGTGGTTATGACTCTTAATTTTCTTGTACTAGTTTGCAATTTGTGTAAATTTGAAATATAGTTTGTTCACATGACTCGTCAGACACATGCTGAGGTAATTGTTATGCTCTTTCAAAGGAAGTGTCTGTCAAAAGTTTGAATGTAATTGAAATGTTTGTTCCAGGGCTCTGCAGTTTCCTCCAGAGGGCTGGCTGAGGATGGGCCTGAACAACGGCAGCATCACCTGGCTGACGGTTCGGCCCAGCGGCCGAGTGGCTCTCAGAGCGCTGGGAGACTCGGGCTTCATGCCTCCAGATAAACTCACCCGGACATGACGTTCTCAAGCTAGACCATCATGCCTCATTACAGCCTAGAACCGAAGGATCATTGAGATGGACAGATATTAAGAGTTGCAAAGGGTCGAAAAATTTCCTTAAATGTTCTCCTGAAAATTTTCTGAAATGCCTTTTTAGATGCACAAAAAAAAAAATGGAATGTGATTTAATATTCACCAACTCCTCTTGCTTGTTTAATAATAATCTTACATAGCTGCAATTTAAGAGAAGATTTCTGTGAAAAATTTCATTTGCAACTCTACAATCTGTTGCTGTGGTGATCAGTTACTCCACAAGTGTCTTGAGTGTAATAATTTTGTATTTTTAAATCAAGCAAGTTAAGAATTATTGATATTTCTTCAATTAGACACTCTTGTGCCAATGCTTTGTCTGATCTATAACAGCCATGGAAAGGTGGAATTAACCAGCAAGTGTACTTTTTTCTTTTTCCAGCAGCATTATGCAAACTCTGGAGGCCTTGTTGAGGCAGTTGGTGTGTATTTGCACTGTTCACATGGAATTGTTTATTATTGTTTTAAAGCAAAGTGTGAGTTTGCTAAAAAGGTGAGAATCTTGCCATTGGAAGGTCTAGGATGACTCTTGTGTTAATGTTTGTGTGTTGTTTATGGCAGTAAAAAATTAAATCATTGAGTTTAGTAATATCATTCAGATAATGGATTTAAAAAAAATGTCCAGGTCATATTTTACCTGAAAAGAAAAAAATAAATACAATAATACTACTACTAAAAAAAGGCATATGATTAGGACATCATGCCTATTTTAGGACCATAAATAATTTTAGCATTGTGACTTCTGTGCCAAAAAAGGCACTTTTTAAACAAATATTAATGTAAATAAAAAAAAAAAAATCCTAATTGGACACTTTTTTTTTCTTTTATGCAAAATCTAACTTTTTTTTATTTTGGTGAAATATGGCCCAGACATTTCTTGGCTGTTTCTATGTTTAGATACACTATTGTGTGGAAGTGTGGGGTGACTAAGATTATTTTAAAGAAATAATAAAAAGACCTTATTGTTTACAAATAAAATAATAGGACAAATCAGAATGTGTTCTGTACCTCAGCGAAATGTAAATTTGCTAGTTTTCCATAAAGACATTTTTCTTGTAGTCAAAGAAAGTCAGTAAAGTTACAAGACTGTGCACTTTATTTATCGTTCGTCAATAGAACATCAAATACTTTCCTTTAACGTATACTGTAATAAAATAGGACTAGAAATGCATGCAACGTAAAGGCCAGGACAACAAAATAAGTCAATTCTCAACAATAAACTACATCTCATTCTCAATTCACCAGTGTTGGCACTACAAAGCATCATTTAACAAAAAGTAAGGCTGGCATTGATACAACACTAGCAATAACTAAAACTGTAAACCTTTTTTTCTTCTCTTACAATCGTATTTAAGAGGTATTCAGACACTGCGTATGCCAATGCTACTGTACTCTATTTTACACTAGGAAACAGAAAAAAAGGTCTATTCAGCTTGTATGTGGTCAGTGCATCTGTCATACACTGGGGAGGAGCCACAGGCCCTTCCAAACAGATCATAATCAAAGGCACTAAAGCTTTACAGAGCAAAGATCAACAGGCCAGCACTACACTGAGAATGATGGGCACCAAAGAAATAGATCACATGATCTGAAAGTACCACAGAGGATGTTCTGGACTCGATTCCTTAAGATATTCATCACATAAAACTAAGCTACCTGGAGCTTTTCTGCTTCTAGTCAAGTAGCTTAGATTCCAAAACGAATGGGGTGAATCTGGCAAATGGATCCATTTCAGAAGCCAGTGAGAATCGCATTGACATGATCTAGCGGTGAGACTGAAATATTGGCCATTTATGATGGGATGAAGGGCAATGATCTTTTCCGAACACATTTAAAGTGCACTTACAACACTCCGGATCCACAATCATCAAGTCTTACAACTATCATGACATTAACGTAACAAGACAGTACTGACTTGCCATCATCAAATTTGCATTAGCTTGAATGTGGCATGGCTCAAACTATGCAGATTTATGTCTTTCCGACAAACCGAGTCTCATCTGTTGTTCACGGTGAACTGTGTCAAACTCCAAAAGAAATTCAAAGTGCAAACAAATGCGTACTTAGAAATGATAAATCACATTTATTGAACTTAAAAATGAAAAAGGGGAATATTTTCACATTATAGAACTCTTGCTTTTTTTCCCCCAACACCTAAGGCTGCTATTAACAAAGCATGAATAACCCTGCTTTTGAGATTCAGAAGTTGGTCTTTTCTTTTAGAAATTTAAGGCAGTTCTCCAATTAAAGAATAAAAATAACTTCTGGCAGTCAGTTGACTTTTTTTCTTTTTTTTTTACATTAAAAACCATTAAAATGAGCATTTTGTGCTACTGACAGTTAACTAGCAAAAATAATTCAATAATTTACTACTACGTTATTTAATTTAGATCTAGGTTTCTGTGTTTATATGCTGACATCTTTTTCCCCCCAATTTAAATGACTGCGTTAAGTGGGAAACTGTTAATTTCCATTAAAGACACGGTTTTGTAAATCCACAGATAAATCTCCCAAGCACACACACACACATAGATAAGAAAGAACAAAACAAAAAGGTTAGAAAAAGTCTATACGACCATTACAGATCAACACACTTGGTGTCATACACAGAAGTGCCGAATATATATATATTATGATTCGGGAACCCCCGGGAGATGTGCATATTATTATTTGAGCTGTGTTCTACGAACCTAGGAGCATACAAACCAAAGGACGGTGAGATCCTATCTGCAGTTTGCACGGCACTAGGAGCCCGATTTGAGCATTTCATGGCTTCCGTTATGACACTGTCCTCCTTGGCGACGTTCCATCCCATATTGAATTGTTACTCTTGTTACTTCAGTTACTAGTCGGTAGAAATTGGGCTGGATGGGATGGACAGAGTTTGTTAAATGGGGGCGTCACCAAAATGTTTAAGTCGGATACGCTGGATGTAGCTCGCAGGACTGTAGTTTGAATGAGCGGGGCTGTAGCGTCCGGGGCTGCAGACGTCCGGTGAGCACATGTGACGAGCTGGGCTGAAGCGGCTCGCGGGGGACATCAAACCGCTCACTGGAGAGCCAGGGGTGACTGAGTGAGCCCTGAAATGGCTCTTGATCACTGCAGGAGTCTGCCAGCTGAAAACATAAATACAGACCTCTTAGTGTACATAAATATTTGTCACAAGATGTTCTCAAGAGGCATCTTTAAAAAAGGCCTATTGTTGTCATTACGATTTTTAAAAAAAGATTTTTTTTAGAAGTCTCCTACTCTCCAGGACTGCATCTATTTGATAAAAAAATTTCAGTATAACATTATATTGTGTAATGTTATTACAATTTAAAATAACTATTTTCGGTTTTAATATATTTAGTATATTACAGAAACCATGATAAAACATTTTTATCATGACTCTGGAACAAAAGAAGTTTCAAAGAACAGCATTTATTTAAAATGGAAATCGTTTGTAACATTTTAGAAATCTTTACCGTTACTTTTGAGCAATTTTATGCATGCTTTCTGAATAAATATTAATTTCCTAATAAAAGTTTTTTTTTTTTAATCTTACTGACCCCAAACTTTTGAATTGTAGTGTAATGTACTAAAAAGTAGTGTAACGTAGCTCTCATCACTGAGCTACACACATGCCTACCTTTGCATTTCTGAGTGGGAGTATGCCTGAATTGTGCTCTTCCATTTGT